CGACATAGCTTGCTTCAGCCTTTCACTCAACATATCCACTCCACCAACAGCTTTCATCGTTACCAAATCCATCTCCATCAACCTCAAAACCCTTGACACCTCGGCTTGTGACATTTTGTACCAGATTTCTCTAGTTATTTCTAAGGCACTCAATTTGGCTTTTCTTGTTTAGGAACCGCAACAGTGTGACAATTACTAACAATGTGGAAAACATTCTGGATGTGCTAACATTCCTCAAGGTAAGTTACCTGTTCGATATCTTGGCATTCCACTCATTACTTCCAGGACTGCCAGCCTATATTACACAGAGTTAAGGCTAGACTTAATTCCTGGTCAAATAGGTATTTATCATATGGAGGGTGCAACTTATTAATTCTATCATTTTCAACTTCCAGGTATTTTGGAGTTGTGCTTTCCTATTGCCAGGAAGTAGGAGTGGCAATTTCCCTTGATCCCCATGGGGCTTCACGGGGATCCCTGTCACAGGACAGGGCGGGGAGGAATATTTCTCCCCGTGGGATGGGGATGGGGGGAATTTTCTCTCCGTGAAATTTCACGGGAAATTTTTCCCGCCCTGTGGAGATCCCCATCCTCACGAAAAATTAAAAAAATATATATTTTAAATTTCATTTAACCTTTAAAATAAAACCCAAACCCAACCCAACCCCAATTCAATAAAAATTAAATTTTACTTAACCCAACCCAAGTACCCAATCCAACCCATCACCCTCCTTCCAACCCTAATTTCCTAACCTTATTATTTCCCTTTCTCCTCACTCACGCAGCAGTGCAGCCACAGCCCTCACTTCAGCCCCTCACTCACTCTCGATCTTGGTCAGACAATCAAACTCTCACCTCACCTTCAACCTTCCCCTCCCCTTCTTGCTTCTACAATTTCTCCTCACTCACTCTCACGGTCTCACCTTAAATTTTTCCTTTTTGTTGATTTAATTATTTATGTTAAATTAATTTTTATTTATGTTTGACGCAAAAAATATATACTTTGGTATTAATTGGCAGGAATCCTCGTTCTCCGTGAGGAATAGGGATGGGAAGCAAAATTTACCCCCCGTCAAAAATCTCCGCAGGGATGGGGAGGGACTCCCCGGCCTCGCAGGGTCCCATTGACATCCCTACCAGGAAAAGTGATAAAGCTGGTTGAGCAGATCTGCAAGAATTTCTTGTGGTCTGGTTCTTGGGAAAAGAGAGTAATCAGGTATAGCACTGGTTTCCTGGGATATTGGATGCCTGGATGCCTACCCTAGTGTGAAGGTGAATTAGGGGTTAAACAGCTGATGGCATGGAACAATAAACAATCGTGGCAGCTGTGCACACTATCTAATGTATTGTGGCACGCCTGGTGTGATAGTAAATTGAAAGTGGCTAGTTTTGGTCAGTAAAGATATCTGTGGACTGTGCTTGGGCTTGGAGGAAGCTTCTACAACTCAGACCTTTGGTGCTGAATCTAATCGTGATGGAGATTGGAGACAGGTTTTGCTGTTCTATCCTATGATTGCTAGCTCCATGGCAGTAGGTTGGCTAATAGAATAGATATGAGAAACTGCCAGTGAGGGCCTGATATCAAAGTGGCTGACTGGAGAAGGAATGGCACTGGAATATACCTGCAAGCTGTCTGGAAGGGAAATCAGTGTCACATTTACTCAACTGCAGCATGATATGAGTTATGTAGAAACCAGAGGGAAAAAGTCAAGGGGGAATCGATTTATACATGGCAATCATGGTTGCTGCCCAGACAAAAGGCTTTATGATGTGGCTGTGGCTGTTGATGCATGGAAGGCTGAAGACTAAACAATTCCTCAACCGTTGTAGGCTTTCTGTTGAAACTTACATGCCAAGTGTGTGCTGACGCAGAGGAGACATGCTTGCACTTGTTTTTCAGGTGTCGGTATACTAAGGACGTTTTGAACAGAGTGATGGGCGGCGGAGACAACTGGATGCTAGTGGAAAGAGATTATGAAGTGATGCAGTACAAGGGAAGGTCCAGAGAGGCAAAGTTCAAGCATATTCTGATTGCTGTGACTATATATACATGAGCTATGGAGGGCATGGAATCTGGGTGTGATGAGACTTGAAAGCCAACGCATGGACAGAATCTGCAACTCTATTCTTTTTCAAGTTTTATTTCAAATATTTGCCAAATTGTAATTACAGCAGTTATTATGAATCCCAGGTAATCCTGGGTTGGGTATCATAAGAATGTTTCATGCCCGTACTGGCAAAAAGACAAAAAAAAACCCTGAATTCTAAAAAATATTAAGAAAAGTATAATTGATTATAAAACATTAATTATTGAATTAGGAGAAAGCCTTTTATAATGAGAGGACCTCTCTATGTAATAATTGGTGTTTTATAATTTCAATTACAAGATATCCAACTCAAAGTATTAACTCAAGATGTATAAAAAGAATAAAAAGAATATTTCACACCTGAACTGGCATTTTATTTTGACTTTGCATGGTAAAAACTAATGGATTTTAATTTTTTTGAAGAGAAAAATAAAAATCAAGGTGTCTAAGCACTTACTTTATAAAATTATTTAAATATTTTTAATAAATATTTGTTATATGTCAATTTATTAAGGGTATTTAAATAATTTTATAAGGAATTTT